TCCTATCGACAATGATACCATGACGCGATCCTGGAACTCAGATTCGTCCTACGACCCGGACTATTTCACCCCTATAATAAACGAGCTCATAAGGACGTGATACCCCTGTCACACGGAGAATCGGCTATGTCCGCGGGAATTCCACTGCGCCACCTCTAGCGACCCTCGGTGCTCCGATTTCCCTTCTCCCGACCACACCTACTACTTCACCCACCCGGGACTCGTTGTCGTCACCACCAGTTTTCCTCCTTTCCGTCTTCTTCTCCCGTATCATCAACTCAGTGTTGTTCTGTGGCCGGCCATAGCCCCCTATTGGCCCAATACGTTTTGCGTGAACTACCGACGTAGCGGCGAACAGAGAACTCCGGAACCCCGAAGGCCCAATCCCGGCCCACGGCGACCTGCGCCACGTGGCGGCCCCTGACGGCCTAACTTTCCGGGGCCGCCTCCACCACGGAGGGACTTCCCCGTAAACCGTCGCCCACCGTGCCCTGGCCCTATTGGACCGTGAGTCCCTTGCGCACACTCGCCCAATTGCATTCATACCCCTAAGACTCCCCCACTTTCCCCAAAAATCCTTGGCACACCCCTTTGCGCACTTCCAGGCCCACATCCCACTCCGATCAGGAAGTCGCGCTGGGCGTGAGGTTGGTATCGGAGCCCGACACGTGGCTAGGGTCTTAGGATTGATAGCATGATAATTAGGCGACCTGGCTAACCGTGGGCGACCTTGCCCCCGGAACGCGCCTAGACGCGACCCTATCGTCACCAGAAGCAGAGCGGCTAACCGACGAGCAGCCAATATGGCTGCCAACGTGCAAAATCCGATCCCGCAACAAAATGCTAATCCACCTAATCAACCTGCCCCACGTGCACGAGCTCCCATGTCGCCACCAAATCTCTATCTATTTGATCCAGCGCACCATCTCGCGGGAGCATGGATGGCCACGCTTAGAGCACAGCAGTACGATGATCACGAAGCACAGATCAACATTCCGGCTCGAATGGGAGGAGACGCTCATCATTGGTATAGTACCTATGTATGGGTGGATCTCCCGACCTTCGAACGGGATTTCATGAACCGATTTGATTATGTTCACCTTGAGCAGGCATTGTACATGATCAAGGACCGAGTGCAAAAACCACTCGAATCCGTTGCGGAATATCGAAACCGGTTCTACAGGATGTTCGTAAAAACTGAGCGAGGTGAGCAAGTAGGGAGAGACATGTTCATTGACGGACTCCGCAGACGAACAATAAGGACTAAGTTGCGAAAACAGTTTTCCCCCATCACTCATACGCTACAACAAATTATGGCTGCCGCGGAGGAAATGGAACGGAAGTTCGCAGCGAACTTCCTGGAAGGAGAAGACTACCCTAGAGACGGAGACTTGACCGAGCTCGTACGAGCGAGAGCAGAACTGGCTGCTTTGCAGAATAAATTTGAAAATATGGGATTTGTATCAGGACCTGTCACTTATATGGAACAGATAGGCCCCAAACGAGTAATCTTAAGCGAGACTCTGAGCATCTCTGCTCCTATGATGCCCCCGCCCGTCAGGGCATTACCCCCACCGCCGGTTGAGGCTCCCCTACGATCGAACGAATCCGCGGTCATTTTCGAACTAACCAAAACGTTGATTAGTTTGATCCAAGAAAGCAAAAAGGAACAGCGAGAGCACAATGCTCGGCTGGAGGCCATGATGAGGAACATGCGATCTATTGCGGTGCGTGCCCCTCCGATGCAACAAGGATTAGCCCCTGCCCCGGCCCTCGGAGGAGCTGCGAGCAATCTGAATGTCTGTTATGCTTGTCATCAGCCAGGGCATTTGGCCCGAGACTGTCCCCACCGACCCCCGCAACAGCGGATCGGAGTCGCGCCTATGGCTGCGGCTCCCATCGCCAACGGGCCTGGACGAGTCGGAGCTTTGATGGAAGAAGTAGAGGGTGGGGGAAGTGCCTTAGCCACCACGGAAGAGGCCGCCGAGCTAATTCCGCTAGATCAGTATGTGTCGCTGGGATATCGTGGACTAGGAATGATCGGAACAATCAGACCAGCACCAAAACCGAAAGAAGTGGCGGAGTGGCGACCGTCCTTAGGAGAAGTGGAGTCGGGAGGACCCACCTTCGTCACAGGAGAAATCAATGTATTAAACATTATCCGAGCTTTGGACTATCGGATTCCACTATCGATCGGTCATCTACTCTCGATCTATGAGCAAGCCAATGAGCGAATGCTACAACATTGCAAAGCAAACCGGAAGCGATTTGCCCTCGCTCGAACACCAAGTGCCAAAGCTAAAGGCCCCACGCCGGAAGAAAACCCAACAAGAACTCCGGACCCAATACGGGTAGGATTAATTCAGAAAGACGATCATTTCTTACGGATTAAACCAATTCCGTGGAAATCAGCGGAATGTGATATTGAAATTTAGGGAATCCTTACAACGCGATAATAGATTCAGGAGCAGTTGTGTTGGCTATCTCACTAAGAGTGGTCGAAAGGGCCGGTAGGAAAAACGACCTGATCATGCTCACCAAGAAAGATGAGCTCGTTTCGGCAAATGAGGAAAAGATTAAAACTGTGGGAAGAATGACCAATGTCGCTTTTCGCTTGGGCAAAGTGCACACACTTGGGGATGTCGTAGTACTAGATGTTAATACGTACGACGTTCTTTTCAGACTTCCTGCTCTTGTGGCGTTACGAGCAAACCTGGATTTCGAACGGCGATCGATCGTCCTCCGAAATACAGGAGGAAAACCCTACGCGGTGCCCATGTGATTGACCCTTCGCACTACCATTAACGCGGTTCCGCGGGTTTCGTCGACGATGGCGGGAACTCTCCGCATGATCTCCTGGGACGAACCTGCTGAAGGGGATCCATCAACTGATGATGCGGAAAGCAGTGACGAGGATGATCCGAAAATCTTGAAATTGGTACGACAACGCGTTTATTACCCGCCGCCCAAAACGATAGCGAGAACGACGCAACTGACCAGCCGAAAAATTCAAAGGACCAAGGCGATGATCTTGGGAGAGCCCCTCGTGCAGATTTCGAGGATGGTCGACTCTTTGGAACCCCCTCAAACTCTGTATAAAGGGATCCCCCCTCTCCTCGCCAGGTATAACGACAAAAAGCACTATTGCGACATTACGGAACTTCGTAAGTCTTTACTAACATCGGCTAAAGAAGTGAGATTGTTACGCTTAAGGGCGGAAGCAAGCTCTCTAGAACCCCCTCGGCATTTTGAAGCAGAAACAGACAGACTGGGGATAAAGTTTGCAACTAAAGAAGTGCCATGGCAGGATGTTTGCGACAGGATTACCCCGGAAGGACACGTGGCAATCCGAGAAGAAGATGCTCGGATGATGGCCACGGTGTTCTCTTGGCGATCGGATCATTCATTCATCTCGGCGCCTCGACCCGACTTGACAAAACAAGCAAATACGAAACAGATTGACGTTCGGATCATGGACCAACTTTTCGAGCTACACGTTCCACAATATGTGCCGGATGAAATCCACCAGGTAATTGCGGATATTCTAACAGAGTATCAAGGAGCGATTAGTGTGTCAGACACTAACATTGGGTTGTCGCCAGTAATCCAACACGAAATCCAGACAGGAAATCACTCCCCGATCCATTGCAAACCTTATCGGTATTCCTTGATTGAACGCAAAAAGGCTCTCGAACGAATTTGAGAATTCGAAGCCAGCGGTTGGATTGAACCCGCTACTGGACCGTGGTCTTTTCCCGTAGTATTAGTACCAAAGAAAAATGGAGTGATTCGCATTTGCATTGATTATCGCAAGCTGAATCAAATCACGATTAAGGATGTGTATCCCCTCCCCCGGATTTATAATCTGTTGGATGCGATTGGATGCGCTAATTATTTCAGCAAGTTTGATATCCGACATGGCTTCCATCATATTCTGGTAAGGGAAGAAGATCGGCCAAAAATGGCCTTTGTGTTGTTTGAGGGCACGTGGCAATGGATTCGGTGTCCGATGGGGATTTGCAATGCGCCTGCCACGTTTCAGCGAGCGATGAACATGGCATTCCAGAACTTCGTCAACAAGACACGGCTGACGCAGGGAATGATTAACTTCTGCGTAATCGTGTACATGGACGACATCCTGGTCTATTCGGAAACCTATCACGGCCACGTGCAACACATCGAATGGACATTGAGTGCATTGAGAGACGCCGGGTTCAAGATTGCGCTGGAGAAGAGCAAATTTTTCCTCTCGGAAATTTCGTTCCAGGGCTATGTCGTGACACGTGGAGGATTGCGGCCAGACTCGAGAAAAGTTGCGGCGGTAAAAGAAGCTCCGGTTCCCACGTCACTGACGTAGGTTCGAGTCTTCTTGGGATTGGCGTCGTACTACGGGCGCTTCATCAAGGGCTTTGCCGCGATTGCACGACCACTAACGAATCTGCTACGGAAGGATCAGCCCCTCAACTGGGACGCGGAGTGCCAGCAGGCTTTTGCCACCCTCAAGGACGCTCTGGCAGTGGCCCCTATTTTGATCCGACCGGACCCCTCGAAACAGTTCATTCTCATTACGGACTGGCAACCGGAAGCTATTTCCGCTATTTTAGCACAGAAACGGAACGATGGTCGCGAACACGTCATCGAGTACGCGTCACGAACCGTACCGGACGAACGAAGCAACGACTCCGCGCCTCAGGGTGAGTGCTATGCGGTAGTTTGGGGAATCCAACACTTCCATCTGTATCTCTACGGACAGAAGTTTCGCCTCGTAACGGATCACGAGCCTCTGCTGGCGCTGAAGAAACTCACCAACTACACAGGCATGATTGGTCGTTGGGCGGTGTGACTACAAGAATACGACTTCGATATCGTCCATCGAAAGACAGAGCGACACGGCAACGCGGACGGGCTGACACGTCTGCATCGACCTGCCAAAGTACCAAAGGGCGAGGAAATTACACCGTGGAAAGACCCGGACTTGACCAACCAGCCGAAATACGGACAAGCGGCAGTTCTCCCGCGTGGTAAGAACCAAAACGGTGGCGATGGCGGATGAAGGTAACCTCACTACCCCTCCCTCTCCCCTTCCTCCTCGTCTCTCCTCTCCCTGGACGAAAAATTTTGCTATTTTTGCGAAGCTATCTCCCGCGTCTATTCGGTCTCCATGCGTCCTAACGGAGAGGGATATGCAGATTGGATAGATTGCCGACAGTGTGTTGCACGAGCCCATGGCTCGTGCGTCCAATACAGGAACGATAGTAAACTGTGGTTGTGCCCCTTGTGCCGGACCGACGAAATTCCGACCGAGGCTCGATTTTTGGATGCCACGTCAGAAGGATTGGAAAAGACCCGAAAGTTTAGAAGGGCCGAAGTATGGACGGATATTGCCTTAATTGCCACCCTAGTATGTAACCCCCTCCAAGATTTCACCAAGGAAGATCGGAGGAGGGCCAACGAAAGGGCTCGGGATTATCGATGGATAGAGGGTAGGCTAGAAAAATGGAAAACGGACGGCAGTGGGATTTGGATGGTAGTGCCGCATCCGTTCATGCGGTATGACTGGGTTAAGACAGCTCACGAGGAAACTGCGGCCCATTTTGCCGTACGAATCATGGAGTCCGCTATCGACAAAAATGAGAGGTATTGGTCCAATATCCGCGACGATGTGAAGTACATCATTGCCAACTGTCAAGTCTGCGCCGCCGATAAAGCGCCGATTCAGCCACCAAGATCGATAGTACCCACGGTTGTTGAACGGCCATTTCAAAGAGTGAGCATGGACACTACCGACATAGTGGTGCCCCCTGGCCCTAATAGTTGCGAGTATTCAGTCTTATTGGTATTTGTCGACCATTTCTCGAAATGGATCGGAGCGTATCCTTGTCGCACGCGGTAAGCCACGGAAATCGCGCGATATGTCAACCGTTTCCTCGGGATGCATCAGGATACGGAGGAGATCCTAACCGACAATGGGGATGAATTCAGGGGAGAAGTGTTAAGAAATCTGGTCCTACACGGTGTCGCCATACGGAACACTGCACCCCACATGTCACAATCCAATGGGCTGGTCGAAAACGCTAACCGGATGATAAAGACAGCATTGCGACGAAACATCACGGCACGGGATCCGAGGCCCTGGCCCGATATTGTCGATCACATCCTGGCGGTCCATCGCGGAACGCCCCACGAATCGACAGGGCTAAGCCCCTTCCAATTAAGAACCAATAGCGTCGCTTGCGTTTCAATACCAAGCCTCCCCTACGAGTCTACATTGAACCGACGGCCCACCAGGGCCACGGCTAGGGACAAGGCCAAGCGACACCTAGAGCTAATGGAACGGTCACTGCCCAGGCTAGCCCGAAAGCGACAGAAAATGACCGAGCCCAAGGCCGACAGGTCCGAAGTTACGAGGCCCGGAATGGGAATGCAGGTTCACGGCCCCAATACAAATTAGGGGACATCGTGCAGGTGAGGAAATGTGCTCGCCAGGGTAAGTTAGCGCCACGATTCTTCGGGCGATTTCGCGTGATCGAACTCGGACCGAACAGTGTGAACACCGTGCGACTTGCGCCCAAGGTCTCCGGCAGCCGATCGGCTCGTCCGATCACACGCCACGTGTCCTATCTTCGCCTCCTCCCCTCTGCTCCGACTCCTTCTCCCTCTTTTTCTCTCTCTGGGGAAGCAAAGGACGACAGCTCTGCCTCTTCGGCATCTCCCTCTTCCTCTTATTCCCTCTCTGCCTCGCCATCGCCATGAGTTTTCTGGAGGAGAGAGCCCTCAGCGAAGCAGCGCTTGCGCCCCGTGATCGACTGATGATCCGGCAGGTCTATCATCCCTACCTCAGTCCAGACCTTCGGTGGCTTGCGCACTTCTTCTGTACGGAAGGCGTGTATGCAGCGGCGGTGTTCAGAATAGAAGGTTGACCCAATGCAGTGGTACTGGCCGAGGCAGTAGCAGTTCATCAGCGGGCGGTGCCAGGTGTCAGCCGCATATTGGTCGTCATCAATTTCCGTGGCGATCTTTCCACGCTCCTACCCTTGCGACATTCAGCAGTAAAGACGTCGCTGCGTGCGTGGGCAAACGATCTGGTTGCCGAGTGGACCCAGCTTCTGGCTCGTTCCGGGGATACGGTCACAACGATGCGAGCAATCGAATACGACGGCCTTCGGATGTACCCGCGCGATCCGCCGGTGGTGCTCCCTGTTGGTGTTCCCTTCCCTCGCCCCCAATGAGTCTCTCTCCGATCTCCGTTTTTTATCTCCCCTCCACCTTCCCCACCTTCTGGCAATCCGATATCCATCCTCGCCTTTCCTACTGTCTAACGACCCTTGCTGTCCCCGACATCCATCCCCCACACTGGGAATTGTGGCGCGAAGACTTTGTCGAGCTTTCACTGTGCTTGGTTGAGGTACGGCTGACGTGGACCGAGGGCGAGGCGCACCCGCCTTGCATAGAGCGCCTGGAGTTGTGGTTCATCCAGGATTGGCGAACCAACGTGGAAGGAGAACTTCTCGCGTTTCTGTTCGGTACAGTGCGACCCGGACATCAGGAACTCATCGCGCAGGAACTTACGGTCCTGGCAGCGCAGCTGGCGGACGACCTCCCCCTCGACATCATCTTGCAAGACGATGAGCACCCGATTCCTCATGTGCTTTCTCGTACGTTGACGCCGTATCTCCAGTGGTCGGCTTGTGCGGAGGAAGCCGCCGAGCGCATCCCGCCGTCGCAGCAGCAGTATTTGGATCCCCGGACGGTTCGCAATTCGGCCTTCTTCAGGCATCCAACGACAGAGCAACTTGCCGCCATTCGAGAGGAGGAAGAGGAGGAAGAAAGCACTGAGAGGGACGAAGAAGAAAACGAGCGGGAAGAAAGTGGGAAAAGCGACGAAGTACTCGGGGAAGAAGACGAAACCCCCGAAGAAGGAAGCCATAGCGAGCATAGCGAGGGGGAGCAGAGCGAAGAAGAGCAGAGCAAAGAAGAAGAAGAAGACGAAGAAGGCGAAGAGGAGAACGAAGAAGAATCTGCAGGATCAAAGTGGGAAGCCGTGCCGAAAGAAGTGCTGCGCACAGGTACAGAGGCAGAAGATCCCGAGGCGGCCCGAAAAAGAAAAGAGATCGCGACTGGGAAGGAGTTAGAGCTAGCAAGCGAGGCGAGTCCGCAGATCTGCGACGACCCGAACCGAGATCCGGAGCCGCTCCGACCTGAAGATGGCGACCTCGCGGCCACGACTCCGACCCCATCGGCACGGCGACAAAGCCGATCTCTCCCCTCCCCAACCCGTCCCCCAGTTCACCGACGTACCGATACGGGTAATCGGTCTTCGTCCCCGATCGCTCTCTCGTCGTCCCCTTGAATACCTCACCCTCCGCTAGCTCACCACCCCTGTCACGTTCCCTTCTAATCCGTTCCCCCGCGACGCCTTCTGCCACTTCTATGCTGCTCGCTTTGCTATAGTTGTGCACCCCCACCCCTCCATTCAGTGTGCCATCCCAACCTTCTGCCTCCATGTTTTGCTCCTAAGTGCCGCGTGGCGAGGCCACAATATGATCGAGGTTTATTGCATAGTAACGGGCACCATCCCCGCTTGCGAAGATCGCGATCGTTTCCACGCGGCACTTTTTCGAACCCTCACCACCCTCTATCCCGACTATCTCGCGTCCCTCCCTCGCACTGGCAACCGTTTCCCCCGTTTCCACCGCATCATCCGCTACCAAACGCTTCCAGAATCTGCAGCCGGGATGGAAAGGTTCCTGCCCCCGCTACCCCTGAGCCCTCCACCCCGCCATGCCGCCATGTACCGACTTCCCTTCCCCCTCCCGGTTAATTACTGATGCAGCAGGGAATGGACACGTGTCGCGGCGACGGCACGAGAAAGATCCCGTCCTTGAACCGTTGAGAGCCCAATCTGAGGAACTAGTAGAAGAGCAATGTTGCCACGATGGATGACGTCCACACGCAATCGAACGGTAAGTGGCATAAAGTGAAGTGCTCCACATGTCGATCGATTAGAGAAATTGACACGTGACACTGTCAACAAGCAAGCAGGAGCTTGCTAATATTGGAACCCCCTGGGCGTCACATATGTGACGAACCACTTTCTGTAACACGCGAGTTTCTACGCGGTTGCAACGAGGGGTCCTAACCTGGGAAGATTGGGCCAATAACGGGAAATTGGGATCGGTGGAAAATTGCATCAGTACCCTTGCTTTTTTGTCTTTTTCGCCGCTTATTGTCGGATGACTGGGTACGGAGCTGGGTGTGTCCGGGGACGACCGGCTGAGGATTGGTCGGATGGATGACTGGCGCGCCACCGCGCGCGCGATTGATAAATGTTGACGTTGTTTCCTTCGTTTCGGGATCGATCTTTTGGGCGCGGACATCGCGCGGGAAATTGCTTCGTACTTTTGAACTTTCTTTTGAATCTTTTTCGAATTTTGTCGAGCCCCGATGGCTCTCGGAATTTTGGACTTTCTTTCTAGAATATATGCTTTTTGCTTTTGCGCATTAAATAGGAATTTAGGAATTCAGTAATTAGGACYTTTTTTTTTCGWCGCGTTGCGCCTTTTGTCTACGCGCTTTTTCATGCAGCTGCAACGGTTATTGGGCGCCCTTAATCGTATGTGTAACTGCAATTCTGGACGGGCGCCATTGTAACTGTATCTTTCTTCTTACACTTCGTCTCTCCCTCTCTTTCTTTTGCTGAAATTTTTGTAAGCCGCGGCTTGCATGCTCGAATCGATGCGTGGAGAAGGGTTACGTCCCCCACACCGCGGCCGATCATGCAGAATGCAGGCATTCCCTCTCTAATCTTCACTCTAAGTCTTGGTAACTCCGTGTTCTTCGTGCATGCATGCACRCTWTAAATTTCGGCTGCGCGATTAGTCAGCTCTCTTGACCCGTTGTTGGAAGCTCGGGGTTGCGCGATCAGGAAGGGTCGGCACACGAGCGAAGTAAGAGGTGAGWGGAGTAGGAGTTGGGCGATCCGACGGGCTGGTGCCGAACGCGGGGGATTGACGTGGGCCACGACGGACTGTGGGCACGGGCGAATCCGACGGGTGCGGGAGGACTAAGCGGGGTGACAACTTCGTGGGTTGGTGCGGGGCGACGGACTGTCCGCATCGGAGAAAGAGAGAGAGAGGAAGAGAGAGAGAGGAAGAGAGAGAGAGTTGAGGTCGATGGGCGTGGATTTGTTGTTTCTTTGTCTCTTCCCCCTCTTCATCTGTGTACATACATTTTGATTGCGGCTCCGGGTGGTTTGCCCGTCCTTATTTTCGTTTCGGCTTTCCTGAGATTTGAGCTTGGGTTTTTGCTCACATTTGTCTTTTCTATGCCCGTCCCGATTGCACTATACATATGATTATCGAATGTATGGATGTATGAATGGGCAGATGTGTGGACGTATGTCTGTCGGTATGTCTTTTTGTCGAGGATCCCTGTCCTTGCCTTTCGTTGTGTTGAATCTTTGCCCACACCTGATGCAGTTGCAGATGGGATATGAATATGGTCTTGATAGCGATTTTGTCCTCCTTTTTTGCTTATCTCACGATGAGGGTTGTGATATGGTTGCATTTTGCATAATCCGAGGCAATTGAACGATCAGAGATCCGGCTCCATAAACGCCGCGCGAGAACACGTGTAAACGCGACCCAAGTCGCGCCCTTACACGCGCCCCCGAAAGACGATTCGCCCACCCTCAAAGATTTGAGGCGGAACCGTCATCCCAAACGAACACGCTGAGGCATCACCAAGTCTGCCTGTCCTGCACGTGTTCGTGCGCGGTAACGGTATCCCGACCCAAGCTATCCTATCGACAATGATACCATGACGCGATCCTGGAACTCAGATTCGTCCTACGACCCGGACTATTTCACCCCTATAATAAACGAGCTCATAAGGATGGGATACCCCTGTCACACGGAGAATCGGCTATGTCCGCGGGAATTCCACTGCACCACCTCTAGCGACCCTCGGTGCTCCGATTTCCCTTCTCCCGACCACACCTACTACTTCACCCACCCGGGATTCGTTGTCGTCACCACCAGTTTTCCTCCTTTCCGTCTTCTTCTCCCGTATCATCAACTCAGTGTTGTTCCGTGGCCGGCCATAGCCCCCTATTGGCCCAATACGTTTTGCGTGAACTGCCGACGTAGCGGCGAACAGAGAACTCCGGAGCCCCGAAGGCCCAATCCCGGCCTGCGGCGACCTGCGCCACGTGGCGGCCCCCGATGGCCTAACTTTCCGGGGCCGCCTCCACCACGGAGGGACTTCCCCGTAAACCGTCGCCCACCATGCCCTGGCCCTATCGGACCGTGAGTCCCTTGCGCACACTCGCCCAATTGCATTCATACCCCTAAGACTCCCCCACTTTCCCCAAAAATCCTTGGCACACCCCTTTTCGCACTTCCAGGCCCACATCCCACTCCGATCAGGAAGTCGCGCTGGGCGTGAGGTTGGGCGTCACAGGTCATCCGGGGTCTACCCACGGCCCTCGAGAGAGAAAGCTTTATTGCCCGTGACAGGGTTTTCCCGTTCGTGGGGGCTGCGCTAGGAGATTTGACAAAAGGGGAGTCGGCGGGGACCTATGAGGAATAAAGACCCTACCCATTTCAGGAAAAAAAAAAAAAAAAAACTCGAGGAAACCGCTACGAAACTCTTCGACCTCGTAGAGGAATCCGTCGGTGTGACAGGTGTGCAGTGCCCGTATCATCCGCCCATGCCCCTCGCGATTCCATGGTTCCTCTACACAGAAGAGACGTCCTCACACCCCTCATCCTCCCTCCCCGGGAACAACAAAAGTCACAACCACGGGGCAGCGAAGCAAGCAAGCAAAGGAGAGCGGGAGAAAGTCAGCGCGTCTCAGTGTAAAGCGTGCCTTCACCACACCTCGGGCGCCTCGGGCGCTTCATGGCACCTTCTCTTAGGGAAAAGTCAGTAGCGCGGCGGGAGTTGCAGCACTGATTTACCACTCAGCCGGAGGATCGACTGGACTGGTGTTGGCAGTTCGGCCTTGGCATACCATCTTCCATTTTGACCGGCCCCAGGTAAGTTCAGAGTTATTTTCCCGTCTTGGATTCGAACTGAGGTCCGCATTTCAACATTTTGTGGGTGTACCGACTAAGCTAGGCCCGTTTATGAATTTACCCTTTCCTGGGCATACTCCTCCCACAAGGTCGGGGCTTTTTTTAACCTTCCGGTTTCTGGATGGGCCGTCATTGCTTGCGCTCAGATATCTCCAGGACGGTCCGTAATTGCGCTCAGACGCATCCAGCAAAGTCCTGCAGCTCGAGTGTGCTCTGCTCTCACAGATCGCTTCCACTCCGAAGGAGAGGACGCAGAGCATCGCCCGCCTTCTTCCCAGCAGCCCGAGACCTGACTGTGGGATTCATGCGGCTCCAAGGCGATGGTGAGAGAGAGGCACCGAGCCGAGTCGGTGTGTGCGGAATGAGACGGGTGTAGCGCGAGCAAGGCGTCGTGGCCACCGATGCACGCCCGGGGAGAAGACACACTCAGGAGGCAAAGCAGACGTCAGAGAGAGGACAGCCCTGGGGAGAAGACATACGCTCGGGGATCAAAAGCGGACTTGAGAGAGATGACCGCGGCGGCGGTCAATCCTGTTCCCCCGACATTGAACGCTCGGTTACGACTGCTGTGCATTCCTATATTGGGTGGAACTTCCAGTTTGGATACCACAAGATTGACAGTGCGTTCGATTGGGGGGACGAAGGTAGTTGCAGAAACCAGGCCAGAGCGGGGTCTAAAGGAAAAGTGGGAAGGAAGGAAGGACTGACATCCCCGAAGTACGAATTTTCGGAGGCTGCGGGCGTCGTCCAGCATGTGCAGCATGTGCTGTCTTGCTTCATCCTCATTCACTTCGTTATGATGAGGTTGGTTGCTTTTTATTCTCGTTCACACTCTGGGATGAGATTGTATTGCACACGGCTGCTGCTCGGAAGAAGAAGTAGCAAACTGGTCAATGACAATCAACCGGACACAGGGTGCACCTTAAGTTTGTCAAGCAGGGCATAACAAGCGCGCAGAACCGATTTTTTTTTTTCAGAGCGCGGAGAGT